CGGGGCGCTTTCCCTACTGCGAATGTCAGCGCGGCGCCGCTCTGCCAGCCACCAGCCTGCGCTGTGGGCCACGCGCCCGAGCGAAAGCCGAGGCGCCGCGCTGCTGCCGCGGACGCCCACATCCGCCTCACACCTCCCGCTCGTCCGCTGCGGGACTCTTTTTCTATGCTCAGCTGTGACCCGTGCTTTTCGAAATCAGGATGCGGGTAATGCGGGGCTATCTCCTGTTTTGCCAGCATCGCTAGCGGCGAGCGTAAGACATCGTTCAGCGTGCCTACGGCTGGATGGCGGCGGTTTGATCCCAGATAGGCCAGAAATTTGCATGCTTAGTGAGTTCAAGCCACCTACCGGGGTCGAGTTTGGTGGCCAACTGTTCTGGTCGGTGCTTTCCGTTATTTTTCTGACCACTTCCAGGCGAATGCTGGAGCAGCTCCCTCTACCGCAGCCACGGACTGCCCGCGTTCTTTCTTGTCCCTTGTCGTCCCCCAATCCGAACTGAATTACTGTGGGAGAGTTCATTTTCTCTCATAATAGGCATACGTGGCTGGGGAAGAAATATCCGACTCTAAAATAATATATTTTCTTTTGGAATAAAAACATTTGCGTGCTTATTTTCAATTTCTCTAATTAAGAGATGAAGTTTAAAAAATTATTTGTGTTCGGATAAAGCTGCAAGGATATGGTTCCAAATCAAATTAATATCCAATTAACCACCATTTACTGAGTTGTTGTTCAATGAAAAAATTTCCTTGTTAGTTAGCCCAACTAACAAGGAAGTTTTCTTTGATTGACAATACGTTTACGTGGTCCATTGTTATCAAAGCTTCCATGACAGTGAAATTGAAATTAACACATTCCAAGTAATACAATACCTAGTATTAAGTGTATTGACCTACTTACTTTACGTCAATAAAGGGAGAAAATGGTAAAAAAACGTAAAAGTTATCGTTTTTTCGGATCTCAACACTACCGATCTCCCGAAGATGTTGAAAGAAAAGTTGTGATTTCTGCACCAGTTCATTTCGGCTTAGGGACTCTTGCACCATCACTGTCAGAAATTTCCGCATTATTTTAAGGTAACGTCCTTGACAAATGGTCTTGTTGGACTGGCAATTATGAATACACGAGATGAATGTTGAGAGGCAGTGGAAACGCGCAGAACCTCTACATTAATTCTATACTGGTTTTAACTCGTGCATTGAATTTATCGCACAAATATATTAAGCTCTTTTTAATGTACAAGATTACATTAAGTTTCATGTACAGAACATTCATTTACATTAGATTTAATGACATTTCTGGCAGTATACGATAAGATTGATGAGTTGCGAATGAAAAAAAAACCGAAGTGAGCGAGGGGGCGGGGGTGCGCAGGTGGAGCTGACGGCGGACGTGGTGGAGCCGACGGACAACGTGACGCTGCACGCGCACGATCTGGCGGTGGACAGCAGCAGCGTGCGCGTGGTGGCGGGCGACGAGGCGCTGCCGGTGACGCGCGTCTCCAACGACACGGCGCGCCAGTTCCTGGTGCTGTCGCTGGGGGCGACAGCGGCGGCCGGCCGGCGCCTCACGGTGAGCATGCGGTACGTGGGCCGCCTCAACGACGTGCTGCAGGGCTTCTACCGCAGCTCCTACACCATCGGCAACGAGACGAGGTGAGCGCGGCACGCACTTTACGCTTCTCCTATTTTCATATTTTTCTTCTTAGAAACGCACTTCTCCTTCCCCTCTTCCTTCTTTCTTTGTTCGCATTCCCCTTTTCCTGTTTTTATTTTTTTTAAAAATTAGTTTACTTACAAGAAAATCATATTGAGAATTCTCGCAATAGGCAGCCCAAATGAAGTAAAGATTCAATAATTAATTGAACACAAGGATTTTGTATTCAGCACAAAATTTATACTATGTTATTGCAAATTAAATAAATAACATGTCTTTAAAATTTTATTATATTGCACTTTATATAATTAAGAAATATTATGAACGTTCTTCAACTGAGACAGACAGTTAGTTCATCATAAACAACTATAATGTCTTTTTAAAATATTTCTCCATGGCTAGAACTTCATTTCAGTTTAATGCTATTAAGTCAATATTTTTGTGGGAATTTGAAAAAAAGATAACTAGAAAAATGTCTTGTTTGATTGGGATGTCGAATTTCAATCCTCGAATTGTTTATGATCCTTCGAAATGTCTCGTAGCAACGTCAAATTACCTTGCTTACAATCTAAATTCATGAATACATGTTGACAGCGATTTGATGAATAGAAACTGTCATGCAAACGGAGGAAACGCATGTGCATGGAGTATGCATCTCAAGTTCACGGGCAAGGTAACTAACTTTCTACAGTTCGCGGGCCGTGCATCCACAGAAAATGCCGCGAGGTTTAAAAGTAAATATTGTACAAATTGCTCACAGATTGCGGTACATCACTGGAAAAATGGCCCATGACAATCTTTTTGAAGAAGTCAACTGAAAGGTCTTGCTACAAAAGCCATATTAATACCATTTACTCCTAAAGCAACAATCCAATTAACTAAAAATATCAGTCACGTTTGAAATTGTCAATTAAGAGTAAAATGAAACATTTTGGATCGAAATTAACTTGAACTGAGTTCACTTAGGAAGTTAAAGTGATTATTGAACTCTTATGTTCAGATTAAGAGGCTCAACAATGACTCTTGTCTCTTAAAAAAGAGCTTTCCGCCTCTACGAGAGACATGCTAAGCTGTTTCACGTTATTAGTATACGCAATAGAAAACAATGATTTAATAAAACATAATACAAAATGAAAACAAGTAAAGAATTCCAATAAAACATACTCCTGTCCCTTGGCAAGAATATTTATGCTAGGCAGAGTTGAAAAAGGAAATAAACATAACATTAAGAAATAAGTATTAACATACTGTATAAACATAAAAATAAATATTCGGTTGTTTGATGGAAAACATTATTCTGTACGAACATCACAAGGTCAAAATCAAATCATCACACATTGCGACATTTTGACTCTACACTTACGACCGTTTACACTTACTTTCGCCACTTCAGCTTGCTCGTATACACCCCTGACTGGATTTGGAGGGAAAATGAGAGCGCAGTGAGGGGAAATTGCCTTTGCTCTTGGTAGAGCGGGGCTTTTCAGGCGGGCAAGCTGTCGCTGGCTGTCGGCAGAAGCTACCGAGAGAAATAGCTCAGGGCTTCAACAGATGTCACTACAGTCACTCTGACTTCGAGTTCGTAGATTCGAGTCCTGGTGGCGTCAGGATTTTCAACTCTAGCTTGTCAGCTAGTTCGAATTCAGTCGCTGTGTCAGTGTAGAATGCTAGCGGCCCGCTGCTCTGATCGGCAGTTTTCCGTAGTTTCTCTGATCAACACCAGGCGAATGCCGGAGTAGTACCCTAAGAAACGAGCCATGGACTACGCGCCATTGTTCCTTCCTATTCCTTGTCGTATCCTCACCCCTTACACACACTTACATTAACATGCACTACACTACCACACATGCCGAGAGAGCGGTCGGGAGCTTGTTGCGGTTTGGGCGGTACCCCGCTGGTGGGAGATACGTTGTTGAGGAAAACCCGGTTGCCGACGGTATGTCGGCGCCGGATCTAGCCACCTCCCGAGCAAAAACCTGCACTACACGTACATGGACTCATGATCTTGGTAGTTGACGCGCCCAGAATCGCTCAATCACTCAATTAAAATAATGCATGGGCAGGTGGATCGCCGTGACGCAGTTCCAGCCGACGGACGCGCGGCGCGCCTTCCCGTGCTTCGACGAGCCGGCGCTCAAGGCGCGCTTCACCATCAGCCTGGCGCGGCCGCGCAACATGACCTCCATCTCCAACATGCCGCGCGCCGGCGACCCGCAGCCCGTGTGAGTAGAGCCTCGCTAGCGACGCGTGCAAAATTAAAACATCCATGTTGAAAAATGTCGATGGATTTTAGTCGATGTAGTTTTAAACATTGATGTTGCAAAACATCGATGATTTGTAGTTGATGTATTTCTAAACATAGATATTAAAAATATATCGACTAAAGATCATCGATGTTTTTCGGTATCGATGTTTTTCGGTATCGATGTTTTTCGACATCGATGTTTTTGACATCGATGTTTTTGACATAGATGTTTTTGACATAGATGTTTTTGACATAGATGTTTTTGACATAGATGTTTTTCGACAGATGTTTTTCGACATAGATGTTTTTCGACATAGATGTTTTTGACATAGATGTTTTTCGACAGATGCTTTTCGACATAGATGTTTTTCGACATAGATGTTTTTGACATAGATGTTTTTCGACATCGATGATTTTTGACAGCGATGTTTGTTGACACCGATGTTTGTCGACTGGGTTAGTAACTTCTAACATAAAATTCCTTTGCATTAAAATTTAATTTGACAGCGTTCCTGTTTATCAATTCGCAGAATATGCAAAGGGGCAGACCGTACGCCTACAGCGTATTTGTTGATTATATCTCAATGTGCGAAATGAATATGAAGAAAGAGAAAATGCAATGGCAAGAAGATCATCTCGAGCGAGAGAATTTGGTCGATGCAGGTGGTTCCTTTGGTTCCAACGCATGATTAACAATGTTACTGTCAGTACTTATTTCATATTTAACTTTAACAGAATTGTGATCATGATCATTTTTCATTTAGAAAACATATCAAAACAAGAAACATCGATCACAAAAATAAAGATGTTAAAAAACATCGAGTTCGTTAATAACAATATTCTAAATATAATGAAACATTTCGAAGTAAAATGTCCTGGTTCTAACGTGATATATAACACGTCAATATTAGTTTAAAGTATATGCATCCGTATCTTTCACTGCCATCTTCATTTTCTAATAATATTCTTCGAAGTCAAGGTACAAACCGCAGTTCAACAATATTACCACGCACAAAATAATGAAAAAGGTAACAACCCTGGAGAAAGGTTGCCATTAGCAAACTGTTTTTTTGTCGCCTGGGATCTACAACAGTGACAGTTGTCAATGACTGCTATTGCTAATAGTACACAAATAAAATAGATACTGCAAATTGTATTTATAATATGACAATTTGTTTTGAAAACATCGATATTTCTGCACAAATACTTTATCGATCTGTAGAAAACAGGATGTTGTAATATCGATCTGAAGAAAACATCGATGTTGTAATATCGATGTTATAATATCGATATTACAAAATTATTTATTTTATGATTATTGATGATTAATTATTGCCTGGCACAATTTTTATTATGTGCCTTAGTTTAGGCCGCATGAACTACGTGTTCATTCTACTTCCATAATATAGAATAATTTATGTAACACTTTGTACCTATAATTCATACATTTATGGTTTTTAAAATACGGCCTTGGCTTCACATCGGTGGCACTCTATTGTATACAGAAGGTCACTTTCTCATGTGTAATACACTTCATTAAAATAATGTAACTTATCGAAAATTGACAGTATTAATGAACTTCAGAAGCCTGGGAACTAATTACAATTTAAGAAAAAATTCAAATGGCTCCACTTCACGTTTTCAGTTGGGAAAACAATGATTTAAGTTATTTTTGTCATAACAGTAGTTAGGATTAGCACTCAATATGAATAAAGAAATGCAAACATTTTAACTAATTTTATACAATTACTGGTATATCTAAGAAACCACAATTTATCATAGTGTTCCTTTCTTACACCCGGCGATTACTAGAATCTTGGGCTTGTAAGCCCGTACGATACATCTGTGTTAAGGACTATGTTACACACAGCCGTTGGCTCACATGGCGCTGAGTGCGACTGTTAACTAACAATGGAATGCTGCGAAACCACGAAGTCACGTGCTGCAGTAGCGGCTATTTGAAAAGATAGTTTGCCTCACGCCTGTTTCAGCTCCTCTCAACGCATTTATTTTCATAGAACGATTATTTTTGCTTTGATGTGACTCTCTTTCTGGATAATCTGATAATGCGCAAATTTTTTTGTCATACAATAAAAAAAAATGGAATTGGTCCGTGGTGTTACGTTGCGTTGCATTCCGTTGCGAAGTCTCAATATTGCCTTATGTTCATCACCGAACCCGAAAGCTGTAGCTATATTATCATCGTGGTCACGCGTAGTGAAGTGTCAACTGCACCCTAAAATGTTATAAGGTAGATAGATTATTAGGTGAAAGTAATTCATATAAAATCATTCCGCTTCTTAGTTCACCGGTTTACCCTTAGAGCTTTCATTGGAGCCAAAAGCCTGCCTAAAGGCTATCACACATTCGCCATTTGCCGAGAAGCGAGCTAGCGAGCTAGCGAAGCAGTCGCCTACTACTCGGCGAATACCGAATATGCGGAGCCGCTGTCATACAAGCGTAGCGTTGACGCGCGTTAAGTAACGCGCGTCGTAAATTAACAGTCTATCTTACGCGGAGCGGACAATGCGCTGGTGTGCCGTTTCGCATACGATAGTGTTATCCCACGACGCGCGTCAACGCAACGCTCGTGTGCAGGGGCCCATAGCGTGCATTGAGAGGTGAGGGCGTACGCTGGAGCGCTTAGCGTGCGTTGAGAGGCGCGGGCGTGCGTTGAGAGATGAGGACGTGCGCAGGGGCCCTGGGCGTGCATTGAGAGGTGGGGCCCGTGCGCAGGGACGGGCTGCCGGACTACGAGTGGGACCACTACGGCGAGTCGGTGCCCATGTCGACGTACCTGGTGGCGTGGGCGGTGACGGACTTCGCCGCGCGGCGGGACGGCTCGTTCGCCGTGTGGGCGCGCGCGTCGGCGCTGCAGCAGGCGGCGTACAGCCTGCACGTGGGCCCGCGCATCCTGCGCTTCTACGAGCAGTACTTCAACATCAGCTACCCGCTGCCCAAGGTGGACATGATCGCGCTGCCCGACTTCGCCGCTGGCGCCATGGAGAACTGGGGGCTCATCACGTACAGGTGAGGAATTCCGCTTCTACCCCACCCACACTGAACATCGCAAAAAATCCCTATTCGCTTACAATTCACTAAGGCAAATTCACATCGACATGAAAACCCTTAACTCTAGATTACAAAAGAGTCGTCTGTCAACTACTGCTGAAAGCTTCACCCACCCAGCTCTAGGTACCTTCATTGTGTGGATAGCCAATGAAATACACGTAACCTTGTGCGCGTGGCTATTTCTGGTATACCCTATTTTAACACGCGTCGTCCAGTTGAATAGGCCTTTGTAATTAGGTCAGTGATATTTTTGGCGCTAAATTGGGTAATATTGTGAATAATCAATACGAACTTCTTGCTCGTCAATTGCAATTATGTTTTACACAATATAATGTTTAAACAAATGCAATAATTTTCAAGCAATGGTTCGTCTTAAATATGGCCAAATAAGTTTCCTGAATAATAAAGAGAATCTCCTTGACTTGTAGCATTTAATATTCGTTCTCAACAGTTAACAATCATAATAGTACAACGGCGATCAGACCAAAGGTTGCTTGGCGAGGTACTACTGCGGATGCTACTCCAAAATCACGTGTGGGCAGCACCAAACAAGTTATCTAAGTGTATGTAGTGTGTTTAGCAAGTGTATGTAGAAGAACCTATAAACTATAATTTGGAATTCCCTATCATATATGTTCAATAAATTAAATTTAGGGTTTCATTGTAAAAATTAAATTTCCTTTATTTTTATCTATAGTAGTTTGTCAGACTACGCCTAAGTAATAATGCTTGGTACTGTTCGTCTTTTTAATCTGCGGTTAAAAGTGCTGCTGCTAAGTAAGTAATACCCACAGGCCTGCTTCAAACATACTTAAGACGAAAATATAAAAGTTCGCAGATTGTGACCCAACAAAAACATCAGGTTCACATGCAACTCACTACACACTTTACGCTGCTAACACGTGTTACCTTTTGCGCACAGCATCGTATTCGATGCTAGGCTCGTAAAATTATATTTTAGTGACACTAAAAACACGATTTATATTTCCTATGGCGAATCATGCCTCGTATAACATTCTATGACATTTTGGAGACAACTTTTAATCTCCTACGGATAGTCAGAATCGTTCAAAGTTGGGTTATAGAATGGAGCTATTATAACTTTTCAAATAATTACTTTAAAGTGCGATCTTCTGATGATCTGATAAAAAATAGCACCTTCTGTGACGTTCTATAATATTTTTGAAAGTTCGATAATATTTTTGAAAGTTCGAAAGTTGTGATTATTCTCAGGCTAACAAGCTAAACAGAATTTCATTTCCTTCGCCAGAAAAGGCTCTGCTTCGTAAGTCATGAAAAGGATTAGCAAATATTGTAGAAAGTTCGTCATTAAAAGCCCTTAAAATAATTTTTGAATTTCCAGTTAAACAGGAGGACACGCGGAGGAACATGCAGGAAAATGCGGAGAGAGGTGGAGTTTGAGTTTCGTTTCTTAACTTTTGTTCTACAAAATTAGATCTTTTGGATTTTCATATCTTTTTTTCTAGGTACCCCGTATCCTTTGCGTGGGTTGTCCCAAATGAGGGAAAACCTCGAAATCCGTGTAAAATTATATTGACTATTTGTTATTCTACTCAATTTCATCTGAATCCTTTCCATTGTTAGAAAGTTTGTCAGCCCATAGTATAAGACTGCAACGCTCTAACATTGAAACGTACAGTTCACGGGCTAAAGTGGTTTGAAGTTAAGATCCTGGGTAGAGATAATTTACTTTGAAACCACTGTTTGGCAAAGATCAGTTCTACAATTAATTTTAATTTTAATTTTTTTTCTAAATAATTAAAATACACTATTCATTTTACATAATCGTGGTCACAGATTCAATATATTCCAATCCTTCGAAATTCAAGTGGCCCTGTTTTACGATGTGTTGTTTTGACGAGTCGAGCAAATATAGAGGTCTGATATATTTATTCCAAACTTTATCTAAGATGTAAATCTTCATGTCTTCAGAGAAACAGCGATGCTGTACGAGCAAGGGGTGTCCACAAACAGCAACAAGCAGAGCGTTGCCACAGTGGTGGCCCACGAGCTGGCTCACCAATGGTTTGGGAATCTCGTGACGCCCAGCTGGTGGACGGACTTGTGGTTGAACGAGGGGTTCGCCAGCTACGTCGAGTATCTTGGTGTAAATGCTGTGAGTAATTGCCCACTTTCCCAACGTATATCATTTTAAACTGTAATTAAGCTGATCCATTTCTACCAACACCACAAAAGATAATGCCTCTATATACTACAATAGTGGAAGGTAATTAAGAAAATTAGGAAACACACAAAACTATAAATGTGTTTAAAAATGTGTAAGGTTTCCAATTTACATTATAGTAAAAACTTTGCTATTCTACACCAAAACCTGTAGTAAATCAGAGAATTTTCGAAATTCAATCTTAATGTTGAGTAAATACTTAGCTTTTAGGTACTTTCGAAAGTTTAAAATACTCAAAATATTACTCATCCTCATGACCTGCATAAATAAAAGTTCGATACATTACAATGTGACATCGTAACCACGAACTTGTCAAACAGAAAACAATGTTGTTAGAGCGTAATAAAACGGAAATTACAATAGCAATTGACCCGCACATTCAATATCCCTTAGAAAGCGAATACATTGCATGGACCGCGCCTCCTTTTGTCGCTGTTTCCATTCAATGTATCCGATTTGGGTATACGAATTATTGGGTTTTTCAATTTAAATGAACATTTCACAGTAAATGATTGCTGCATTAATATTTTCATTTATTCATTAAAATTATTAACTTAAGAATTATCTTACGAAATGATAAAGTAATAAATGTTTTTACAACTTTCTAATGGCTGTTAAATAATTCATGTTTACTGTATATCTTTCGTCAAATAATTCGTCATTAATGTGCACACTAGCAGTCGAAAGTTCGAAAACCGAAAGATAATAATCTTACGAAAATTAAAGATAATAGATTATCGGCGTAGAATGACAATTTTATATTCCTCAGTTGTTCAAATCATTTCAAAATTGTCTGCTTTTGTTAGTATTATTAGTATCCTGAAACAAACATGTCAGCTTCTTATTTTCTACTAATGTATGGAGGGGGCAACGTTGTACGAATGCGTGACTTGGCTGCAGGTGGAGCCTACCTGGAAGATCCTGGAGCAGTTCGTGAGCTACGACCTGCAGAACGTGTTCGCGCTCGACGCCCTGGAGTCTTCGCACCCCATTTCCATCGCCGTGGGCCACCCCGACGAGATCAACGAGATATTCGACAGGATATCCTACGGCAAAGGTGCGCCTCTGGCATTCCGTCTGCTAGTAGGGAGATCTTAGACATTTCCATTTTTGAATACTCTGGATTCTTCGTTATCCGAATCAACTCAGTCTTTTATCAAAAACTCATTTATTGCTGTACGAACTTTTTCTTTCGCCTCAGACATACAAAGTCGTGGTGAATTGGAAAATCCCTCACGGTAGGCAGATACTCAGTTTTGTATTATATGCATAGCTAACGGAAAGATAATTGCAGTGAAGAAATGGGAGTGGGGCTTCTAACTCCCCTCCGAGTATAATAGCCCGGTGACATCCAGTTGGGCTCTGGGTTCGTCGTGCCAATGCAGATAACTCAGTTTTTTTTTGTTTTGTTTTTGAGGGGAGAACTTGTCCCTGCGCGTGTGACGTAAAGAATCCGGCACCGACCCGGAAAGGTGCCGAGGTGCCAAAGTGATCTCACTCAGGATGTGGCTAGGTATTCTCACCCAGACCGGCGTTTCCGGTAAATTACTCAACGGTCTACATGTACCCCAACAGTCTGATAGGATAAGAGCTTTCCTCAGGTGCGAAAGTGGGGAAACTCCTTATAATTTGACAAATGATAAAATAACAAAGTAGGAAATGTACGAAATTAATAACTAGTAAACAGGGAAAAAAGTAATAATTACGATAAATTTAAGACTAAAAATGTGGAAAAATTATTTAATGAACATTCGTCGGAGAAACTCTGCTTTCCATAATACAGAAGCTCATGTTCCCATGTGGGGGACTATTGTTTCAATGTCACATTGTACGATGAAAGGATACGCAGAACTTCGTGACTTTGTGAACGAAGAGAACAAACTTTGTGACGCCTTTCCAGAGCAGAAAGTAGTTTACCCCATTGACACAGATGAGAAGTATTACGCCAACAGCCTATTTACAGCATTGTAAATACCATTTCAGGTTTGTGGCCGCCTATCATTTTGTCATAATCTCAACCCCATCAGGAGCGCAAACACACACCATCAATTTGGCATCTGAGCTCAATGCTCTTAAGAACATCTACCCAAAACCTGGATGAGGCTACTTCACCTCTCAAACTTACCACCTCTTGGGCCTAGTGCAGGAGGCCTAAACCACCAACTTACGCGGCGCCCGTCACTTCACTGCAGCCACTTGGCACTAACGAACTGAGCGACGCTGCGAAACTAGACAACCGATCAAGGGTTTTCCGTTCCTGCTGGGGGGCTTTATATACTCAACCTCACTTACGAAATATAAGTAAAATGAGAAATTAAAAAGATTTATTGTTTATTGCGCGCCTATTTTTTTAATAGAATATTGTGAAGGGTGGCATTCCAATTTCTAGGTTAGAAATATATGCGTGTGTCCCAGGGATTTTTGTACTTCTACGCAAGGTAAAAATCTAGTGCGCTGACTTTAAAACGAAGAGGAAATAGCTCCGCGGCCTATCCACGCTTTCGTTCATATTATCGTCTTCGATGAATCCGTTATATATCCACGTTTGTAAGCTTAATACGTATTTTCGAATATATATTGATAAGGCTTAGTATTATGGTTGAGTTTCTTTCGGGTACGAAACATCTTTCGAGAGTATTTTGAAATCGGTCTATTATTCGAAACATATCCAATAAAAAACTAAGTTAATCACTATTTTTGGAATAATATTTTACATTTAAAAAACTATTGGATAATGAATATTACTCATTGCATTGTATCTGTTTGCTATCGCCCAAAAACAATGTTTACTGAATAACAGTATTGTGTATTAAACGTTTGAGTTCACAATGTTGAGGTAATAAATTATCCAGCAGTCTATAAATTATGCATGGGATATGTGAATTTAAAGTTATGAAATGTGAGAGTGTGGTCGCATGCATAATGCAAACGGTTGACTCTGATTTTCCATTTCTGTATTTATTAATGTATCTGACACATTACATATAAAATTGTACGATTTGTTTTCTGTAAATTCAACAGGTGCCTCAATTATCAGAATGATGGATCACTTTCTTACCACTGATGTGTTCAAGAAGGGTCTCCACAATTACCTGAAGAAGTGGTAAGTTGTTGATTCCATGAGCAATGTTATCACAAAATGAAATATCAATCCAGTAAAGGTGTATTGATGTTGACCTCGAAGATATCTTAAATTTAATATTTTAGAAAGATAAGAAATAAATAAAATTCAATTTTGGTATCTATTCTATTTTTGAAGAAGCACTTCTGAGAGTATATACGATGCGTATATGGGTATATTTTTGTTAATTATAAAATGTTTCATTATCGAGGTGGTCAAGGGTCTGCGAATATGACAAAGACTGATTTCAACTATGAACATAACACAAGAACAGGTCAAGAATGTGTATTTGAGTAATAAGATGAAACGAATTGGTTCTAAAAACACAGGTTATAAAGGGATTTTAAAAAACAAAGTAGATGACATTTAATCTATGTTAACTTTTCCCCCTTAGTTACAATGCTTCAACTTTTATTTCAATATTTAAACAATATTTTATATTGTTATAAAGAATGTGTTAAAATTGTTTAAGGTTGTAGTTTCTAAGGCATACCTGCGTATATTTAATATTTTATGAGTAGTATGAAAGAAAATAGTAATACAAAATAATTAAGGAAACTTCGAAGTGTGCCATAGAAGTATACAGGTCTGTGTATATTTATATATTAGGTGTATGATCGAAAGGAGTGTATTGTAAATTGTTTTTGAATTATAAGTGTTCATATATTGTAAAACTGTAGGGTTATGGCTACCACCTGGCAATCAGCCATTTGAAGCCAAATAAATATTATTATTATTATTTTATTATTATTATTTTATTATTATCCCATTTTTCTCTCGAGTTTTGAGTGGCACCGTTAACGACCTGACACCTCTGAGTCATAGAGTCGTGTACCTTGCCCGCTGCTGAGTGAAGTGTGCGTGAGGGCTGACGCGGGTCGCATTGCGCAGGTCGTACGACAGCTCGACGCAGAACGACCTGTGGCAGGCGCTGACGGAGCAGGCGCACGCGGACGGCGTGCTGGCCGCCGACGTCACCGTCAAGCGCATCATGGACACGTGGACGCTGCAGACGGGCTTCCCCGTCGTCACCGTCACGCGCGACTACGACGCCGGCGGCGCCACCGTCACGCAGGTACTGCCTCCCGTTGGGCGTTCTCGGTCGCGGCGGCTCGTGCTTGTTTGGTAGCAAGAACTGGTGTGGAAACAGGTTCTGGGTTCGAAATTCGTCAGTCGAACTCGTCAGTTCGGCAGTCATATGCGGTTACCGTTCACTTTTATAATAATGCGGAAAAAATTCTGAATAGGATTACAATTGTATTTTTTTTGCACTCGTGCGTCGGAATACGGCAAATTTTTGACAAACATGTCTTATTGCCGACCTCTGGATACGAAAAAGTGGATAAATCTATATATAATAAATAACATTCTCTTTTCGTTGTGTAGTCAGAATGCATGTTTTTTGGGCTCTTGATACAGAAAAATTGGTTGACAGCAAAACATATGTCTGTCCATCGGTGCCACTCTCTGTTTGTCTCTCACTCTGTCTGTCTGTCACTCGCTGTCTGTCTGTCACTCGCTGTCTGTCTGTCACTCGCTGTCTGTCTGCCAGTCTCTGTCTCTCTGTCACTCTCTCTGTCTGTCTAAATGTCTCTTTCAATGTATCACTGTCTGGTCGTTCATCCGTCCGTGGTAAACGCTAGCGTTTGCTTTCTGATTCTGTATTGGGAGATTTTTTAAAGTTCTGCCCTAATGTTTGAAAGTCTTTACGGTTATAAAACAAAATAATCTTTACTTTTGTAGAATAGCACAAAAATCTTCAATTGCTTCTTTTTTCTTTTTAGCTTCAATTATTTAGAAAAACGATGGTTGGCGGTTTGCCAACAACTACATATCGTTTTTTAAAGACAGGTGCGCTTGAGTTGCTTATTAAGATGAAAAGCTGTAAAGGAGTCTAAGAAAGAGAAAAGTTTTTCGTTTTAAATACAAAACATTCTTTATGCTTTGAAATTTTAAAATTTTAATATAGCCTACAAATGCAGCGAGTTAAAACAAATTAGGGATTTTTGTATTCACTTCCTTCAGAAACACTTAATATTTATGTGGTAGTTATTGCGGTATTCAAAGAATGAATTTTATCCTTTATTAAAGAACTATAATCTGCTTTCAAATATATTTTTTGAAAAACCCTATAGGCAGGGGTAAAAAATGTGGAAATGGCCAGCAAACATCACAGATCAAAATATAACACATAGTGTCGAAAATGATACACAAGGACATGCTTGCGTAAGTGCCAAAATTTACCAACCGAAAATAGCCTACAGCACACACGGAATTGACCTGAGCATTGTAAAAATATTTTTTCAGATCGTAAACGTGTCACGATGCTATGTGCGTTAAGAATATAAGGCAAATCATGTGCAAAGTATTATCATTTTCGTGTGGATTAGTAATAAATGTGCGGTGCCAAAGTCATATCACGTAATTTAATAATTCTTTTTAAATCATAGTAAATCTATAGAGTTATATTGGAATCACCTGAACAACACGATCTCGAATACCCAATCGTGAAACCAATTTTTAAGGTTCTTTACACTTGTAACATAAAGGTCTAGAAGTGCTGTTTTAAGTTAGGATTGATACAAAGGGAGAGAAGATTGATGAGAAAATGTAAATGTCTATTTGTCTGTTTTTGTTTGTCTCCTCCATTTTCTCCTCTTTTTCCTTCATTTCCCGCACCTTTCTCACCAGTGATTCGATTGATGAGTGAGTGCGTGGGTGGGTGCGTGCGTGGGTGGGTGCAATTTTCCCCTATTATTCAAATGCAAAGAAAAAATTCCGTTTTTTGAAATACTTCATTACCTCAAAATGAGTGGCAATGAGCGTGCTGGGGAACTTTTTTTCTCACCATATGCAATATCTTCCAAAATCCACTCGCGATAGTTCCCGTCCACAGAACAAGAGAATTTTCTGCGTACGAAATAAAAGTGTGCGTAAGAATTGTACGATAAAACAGTCACTCAACGTGACTGATATTGTTTCGATCGAAACAGGGAATGTTGAGAATGGCAATGATGTGGATACCATGTGTCTAATGAGCAAACGGAGAAGGACTCCCTTGCCACCCAACTCAAAAAGAAATCACCAGAATGGAGCACACACTCAATTAAACCAACTTACATGCCGCCAAACACGTCGCTTTTCTTTTAAAATCATTTTAGCCGAAAAAAAGTAGTAATTCTCTGGTAAAGAACTCATTGTCATAATGAAATTGCATCAAAGTATATACCTTAACGTATACCATATTTAAATTTTATTCGAAGTGAACATGAACGACAAATTCATATTGCTTAATATAGTTTTGTTTATCAACATACAGAGAAGAAACGCCAAAATAAGCAATGGGAGCTTTTTAAAACAATCTATGATGAAAAAAAATAAATAAATCCTGCAACTGTTTAAAAAAAGGTCTCCGCTTCAAACGCTCGCTTCCGCCGGGGCAGGCAGGGGGCAGGGGTGGGTGGGGGTGGGGTGGGTGAGGCGGGGCGGGGGGCGGTGCTAAGCCTGGGCGGCGCGGGGTGGCGGCGCCGTTCCGCGGTGAGCCATTGCACGATGGGCTGGTGCTGCGCCGCATCCAGCGCACGTTGGCCTTCGCCTGCTCCAGCGCCGTGCTCCACGGCGCGCCTCGCCGTGCCCAGCTCCGGCGCGGTGGGCCGTCGGAACTGCGCCAGCTGGCCAACACGCGCGCGCCCAAGTTCCATCAGCGCAATCCGACACCGCACGCACACGCAACCGCGCGCGCGCCCGATGCTAGTCAACGCTCCGACACACACGCACGCACACGCGCGCGCGCGCGCCCGTGCCGTCAGCGCTCCACGACACACACACACACGCAACACGCGCGGCCCGATGCCATAAGCGCTCAGAGCACACGATGCGCGCGCGCACCACATACACACACACAAACGCAAAGTGCGGCGGCGATGGTTAGCGATATGGACTTTATACCGGTCAACCCGATCGAAGGCGGTGGATTATTAAGGGCGAGAATTATCTTCGTAGCCTTCCTCCGAGGGAGAAGTTAAGCCGCTGTCCATGTCAGTAGATTTTATTGCATTGGTGGCATTTTAGTGCATTATGGGATCCTCAAGCCCAGTATAATCCTTTGAGCCAATTGTAGACAAAGGAAATACCTCCTTTCTTCAGCTTGTTGTGAAAGGCTACCGAAATTATGCTGGTGTCACACGGCCAGAATGGGCGTTCATGCCGAGTCTCGCCACGTAAATAAGGAGCATTCAATTGATTCAGTGATCCGGTACCCTGGCTCATAATAAATACTGCACACGCAATTACCAACAGTTCAGAAAAAAGATGTCACAAAGATGAGTTCAAACTATCCACCAACGTCTGGAAATAATCCAATAATCAAGTTGTAAAAAAGCCAACTAGACATAGCCAAGAAACGTCTCGACTAATAGAATCTCCATGTTCATCTCCTCGGTCCGTTAATAATTAACATTTTTCTAAACAATTTCTCTTATTTTTGCTCTAACATGTGTCAGTATATGGTTGCGTAGGCTGTCCGCTGGCCGGAGTTTATGTTGGCTGGGCTATCTGGGCCACTACGCTGGCCGAAACGTTAGCACCATTGACATTGACGCGGCTCGTCCGGATAGCCAGCCCAACATGTTTCATTATACTCTTATCCTCATAACCGGTTAACACAGTGCAATCATGTTTGTAATTATCTTTATTATAAGATTTGAAAAGGGATCCCAAGAAAAGTAACGAATGAGTGATTTCTTCATTTCATTTTCGATTTTGATTGTGTTTACTTTATAGCTGTATTTCTTATTAATTTAGCATTTGAATAGAAAATATTCTTTGAATTAGAAAAACGCATGTAACAACGAACAAGGATTCGAAAAAGGGAAAATTTGCGTTCCAAGCCAATAGGCAGCGTACTATGAACTTCGTCCCGCAACAGTGTTTGCTCCAGTGGGCCACGCGATCACAGGAGTTTTCTAACAATTCTGCTGTAGCTGCTTTTCCACTCCCTTCAATGTCGTTTTCGCTCGGCCTTCTTTGAGTATTGTCAAATAAAATACGAAGTTCCAACAAAAAGACATATATTGTTACCAGTATAAAGTTCTGGATGGCTAATCAATCGGCAAACGGTTATCTGCTCCGCGGTTCGCGATATCTTTTTCTTTATTCTTGAAACACCAATTAATTATTATCTTAATTACTTCCTCCATGTGTTCGCCAAATTCTCTAATCACTTGAAGACACTAGTCATTAGGTATCTAAACAAGTATTTCTCTTAAAATATCACGTCTTAAAAATGAAATGTGGACATCTCTTTCCGAACTCTAGCCAGCCTCTCCTGTTACAAACTTGCTTCCTAGCAACCCATTACATTACTCAATGTGTCCTTTCCCATTATGGTTGATGTACTTCTGACAAAGTTTATTTTTTATTTTTTAACAAAAATAGATTGAGCTATAAGATAATGGCTATCAAAACAAACCACCTTCATTTGTGGTTTAATACGCAGCTTTTCTAGTTATCAATGAACTAATTGCAGTGTGTATTTACGAATTTTTTGGGACTGTCATAAGTGTTTTACGTAATATTTATTAAACAAGATTAGTGATGTTGAAACTACAAAACAGTAAGTCCAACTGCATCAATATAGTAAATTGTTCGTCATAAATTGTCTCTTTGGTTCCACGTTGCTCGGCTAAACTTTCTCTCGCGGAATTTAATATGTTTACTCCTCTGAGTAGCAAAACTACTTCATTCGTTACAGAAAAAAGCAAGTTTCAATAAATATCTAAGAATATTTGCAAACATCCTCAAATTACAATACTTCTTATTTTTTTAAGAGATTATGTCAGAGACGTAACAATATCTAATTACATGCTTTTTGTCATACTTATGGTTTATGTAGTAAATTTCCACAAAATGCAAGTTTAAAAAAATTAATATTCTCTATATATTAAATTAAATATGTTACCAGCTGATAAGAAATAGTCATAATCAACAGAAATGTTATTTTCTTATAATAAACTAAGAGTGCGGACACTCAAGTCATTTTAATTTCTTTGATGTATTGATGTATCGTAAGAAATTCAAAGGTATAGTTTCTTGACGTTCAAAGTGTTTTGATTCCTACACAATGACAGTTATTTTCTTATATGTTAAACAAAATTAAAGAAGCATAAGACCCATCTTTGAATAATGTACAAGAATTAGGGAAACCGTAATACATTTCAGCAATAGCTGCCGCCTACATTTATAGAATAGTAATTTTATAAAGCATTACGTCATCAACTCGTATTGAGTAATAGATTCGTCGTTGTACAGTGCTTGCACGATATTGTTGATAGTTAAACACGACGCACCCAAATAGGAACACAGAATTCAACATGTAAAAGACCTGATGTAAAATATGGTTTAAATAAGGTAAGTGAAATTTAATTTAAAATTCCCATCACACTATGTTGGCTATAAAATATGAACTACCACACTCAGGTAAAATATAGATAGCCTTGTGAAATAGTGCCTTAGTACATTTTTTTGATATCCGGAAAGCACGAATTTTTGTTAGACTCGAAATTCACATTCAATTGTTATGCAAGTAAACTTGTGAAAGTTTCAAAAAACTGTGAAAACATAAATGCGGATATACGAGTCTCCTATGACTATTACATTTGTATTTTTGTTAAAATGTTGATCCTAGGCTATAAAATTACAATGACAATACTAGGTTCTTTTTTTGTGTTGATTGTAAAAATTTTACTTTGAAGTTTGAACGACATTCTTATGATTCTTTAAAAAAAATGATATTCAAGTCAACTACTTTATTGACTTATTAATTAAGTAAAAATATGTTTACAAGTAAAAACAACCGTTTATTTTAAGCGTAACGTGTTAAGTCATGACTTCGTGTTTTTACTTTAATTTTATAATTAGAAATGTCGTTTCTACCTGAAGATAAAATGGATAGAATCAACTCAATTTTCTTATGGTGTTGATTTAAAAAAACAGTTACATGTATATTAAATCAAATGGTTAAGCTTTTTGTTAGCTGATTAGAATTTATTAAGCAAAAACTGACACTTGAAACAGTTGAAAAATGTACCTGTCCTTATCTGAAGATTCTGTGATGAACATATTTCATTAAGAAAAAAAATATATCTTAATATATATTTGCAGGAAGCGTCGACAAATTATGAACTTTCTGATTTTTCCGGAAATTCACGAAGTTACGAACAAAAATAACAAATACGATTTTTGCATCTGTTTTTTTGTCTATCCGGGGGAAAATTAAGAAGCAACCTGAGCCATTTTTAAAAAAATTTTTAAAATTTCACAACAAAGTTTTGTTGACAGTCAATCGGATAATCGGGGAATATGGAAAATTTTGGTTTGGTCAATCGATTGTCAGTATTCAAGAACCAACGCAAATGCTCATTACGACTACACAACCATAATAGAGAATTAATTTACTAATTTTCAGGAACAATTTAATCCACATTTTCGTTAACCAGGAGCCCTGATAATAAGAGTTTTTCTGTTGGAAAATTCGTCGTTTTCCCCGGCATGATACAAAACAGCAAAAGCAGTGGGTTAAAACAAAAAAGAAAGTCCTGGGCATGTAAAAATATTTTAAAGAAAGTATTCAAAGCACTGAAAGATCACTTTCATCATTTCTGGATATGTTATTAATTTAGGTAAAAGTTTGCGATACCAATTCCGTTTTTTAAGTTTCTTACAACAATATTCTTAACAAGGATATTAATAAAAATAAATTTGTAGAGTCTGCAGTTACAGGTCTAGCGCTGGACTTCTGCAGGGTTCAATCGCTGTTAAATAGAAAGTGGCGTGTGACGATTGAGACGAGGGTGCGGGCACTTACTACTCGCGGATGCGGTCCATTGGCTGCGCCAGGAAGGCGTTAGGCCGAGGCGCTGGCCAATGAGCGTTGCTGCGAGACCGGCGCCGACACGGCGCGCCGCGTCCTGCTTGCGATGCCGGACTTGTTCGTCACCGCCCACTCCAGGTACCTGCGACACGTCACCTCCCTCGCTCAAAACGCCTGCAGCTCTGCAGCATCCGGCTCATCCCTCACGTCCTCGTCAGGGCAGGCGGACTCAGCTCGGAGAGTAATCTGGTGAATGGGTGGGATGGGACTCCATGCTCGTGAGGGATCCACACGTTAGCATGCATACGTTTTCCGACAACCTTGGCATTGAGATATGTATGTGAAACATAACTTTATACCCAATCTTCATGACCTTGGCCTGACTTGGCCCACTTAGCCCACTTGGCGCTTCCAACAATAGCGAGGAAGGTCTCGATGTACAAAATAACTAGCCCCTCCCTTCGCATCGCCTGAAAAAGCAGATAAGTGGTGCGCTCTATTCAGATTTGTCACGACGAACTGAAAACAGCGGAGAATCTAGGCCAAAGTGCGTTTAGAAGTTTCTTAACTACTAATAATTTTCGAAAGTGCAATATTAGTTTCAGTATATTTAAATTTCAGGCCTCCTCCACTTATAACAGTTCACGTAGTACGTGTTGATTAAAGTTGTTTTGGTGGAAGCATAACCAAATTTGGATTTTTTTTCTGGAAGTTTAAAGGTTACTTCTGCTATTCTTTTCTATACCAATAAAAACAGTAACAGTATTACAAAAAACAAGTCTAAACAAAAAGTATTACGACAGTCCATCACCCTGAAATTTTTGGAAAAGGAATCGCTTTTAATGTCCTTACATCGTTTCTTCGTAAGACGAGTATTGTAATCGATATATTTATATGTATATCAGCTAACTTCAGTTTTGCTCTTAGATTTAAATGATCAAAGTTGCATCCACATTATTTTATAATTGAACATGACAGGATTCTCCTTAACGCTGTCTGGGGAAGAATTTCTAGGCGACCCGGCTGCTTTGATCGCCGTGTTTTCCATGGTGTCTCGAGGATCAATTACCAGGCGGAATGCCGAGCACGTACCCTAACAAAAGGAACCACCGACTTATGCGCGATCTTTCCTGTCCCTATTCCTCATTGTATCCTCACCCCTACTACATACGCTTACTCATACATGCCACTATACTACCCATGTATTGCTGGAACCGTGTCGGAGCATGAGTGCTTGTCGCCGTCTTGGGAGCGGTGCCCCTCTGGTGGAGATACCTGGTGAGGAGAAATCCCACCTAAGCCGGCGCCAGATCTCCCATTCAGCAGAGGGAAGATCACTTCCGTCTCCCGAGAAAACAATGCGCTACACCTACGGGACTGAAACTACTTTAACAGTTGACGCGGCCCCGTAAGCACTATAATCAATCAATCGACGTCTCCTGTAAGTGGACTCGTTTCTTTCCACAGCCATGATGGTTTGGGAGAGCGCCTCACCTGCTGAGGATCCACGTCTCCCGCGAGCAGGCCCCAGCGTCGCCCAAGCAGCAGGTCGCGCTCCGAGCGCCACTTGGCCGCCAGGTAGCGGCGGCCACGCGAAAGTCCACTCCTCCTGCCCGCCCACGCGCAGCCGCCGTGACAGTACACCACGTTCTTCAGGTTGGGCCGAGATTCTACGCACGCCACGCACCCGCCCTTCAGACCAGCACTCAACGCGCAATGGCAAACTCACCACCATGCCAAACGGCGAAGCTGCCTTTGAGCAGAATGACGAGCATTCGATGGAATGCATTGTTCTACCTCAGGCCCCGGATTTACAAGTGTGCTTTTGACGAACGACTTTGCGGAGTTTTAGAGAGGCCTACATCTTTCAAAAAATTCAAAAAAAATGGGAAATGGGAAAAATCTGATTAAATCCAAAATGAATGTTTATTAGAGCATTCATCTAGAGAAATAAACCGCGAAACGAATTGATATTGTTATATATTTCGTGTCATAACTGAGATTCAGTTGCGTAATATTAGATTTTTAGAACACCAAGTGGTTTAATATTCATAATTATGATTGTACTATTACATTGACCGTCCAACCTGCGACCGTACTAGCGACAGTTAACTAGCGACCTAAAACTAATGCGACCATAAACTAGTTACCATTAACAAAGTGACCATAAACTAGTGACCATAACTAGTGACCATAAACTAGTGACCAGTAAACTAGTGGACCATAACTAGTGACCATAACTAGTGACCATAACTAGTGACCATAAACTAGTGACTGTAAGCTATTAACAACTACGTATACATTGTGTATTAAACATCATTGTGGAAAACAGGTCTTCTCATTATGTCACATTTTTCAAAATTAATAATTTAATTTTAATAAAAACTTATAGTTAGTTGAGATTTTTTTAAAGTTGAAAAAACGTTGTCCGACATTTCGTACGTAAACCATTCATTCCAACTGGTAGACTAGGTCCCCCGAGTCGCGCCTGTGCGGTCCAGGCAGGGGCTGGGGAGGGTGGACTCACGGCGTTGTTGGCGTCGGGGTCGGCGTGCTGCGCCAGGTTCTGGAAGAGCGTGACGCTGTGACGCACGCAGTCGTCCAGCCCCAGCTGCACGCCAGCTGGAGCACGTTCGACGCGCTTGGTACACCGTCAGCTGCGGGTCCGTGGGGTTGTCCGTGAAGCCCCGTGTGCTCATTACAGCCGCTGCACCAGCCCCAGCATGTACGCCTGCCTGCCGCCACAAAGCACTTCACTGTCCAACCGGCTCAAATATTGATGGGTGTATGGGACGTAGCGGATCCTGTTTCTGACATTCGTTTTTACAACACAATGCTCTTTGCAACCGGATAATAGAGCAATTGTGTAGCCTGAAAAGAGGTGATTTTGTGAGGAAAAATTTTTCGATGGATTTATCTCATTTTAATACCGTGGTTTTGTAATTCACATGGATTGACAAAAAAGTAATTATTTATAAGATTGATCACATTGACAATAACGAATATGAAAATGCAAAAACTTTGTCGACAATTTTAACCGCCTTCTCTTCTTAGCATTAATTAGCCCCAAAAGGTTATTCACGAGTTTCATGTTATCATTTATAATTTCAAAGGAAAAGGGGCTTGTAGTGAATTAAGTAGAAGTGTCTGAATATTTTTCAATAAACAAAATGATTTCGTGGATTTCGAATTCCCGGGTGAGAGCAAAGTAATTTTCTTTTAACTGAAAAAGTGCATTTATTAATTCAGGCAAAAAGTTTTAAAATATCCAATTTCCTACAACTGATGGTATTAATAGAGCAATCTAATAACTTATTTGATTAGATATTAATATCTTAATAATTTTTAACGAAAAAATATCAATAAGTCAGGTGTTATATATGGCTTGAATCAAAATTTGAAATTTGATAATCACACCATAGAGGCAATATTGTATTACTACTTTTACTGTCGTAACCTTTTATCACACCACAATTTTACGAAAAAATGTTATATTAAAATGGAAATATTACTGTCTATGTACTACCCGTACGTTATTTCCTGCGCAAGTTGACCGTTGGTCATGCTTTGGCTGTCTTTGCCAACAATATCTTATCTCATACTTCAAGCCAATTCTAGTCCAGAACAGCTTGCAATATTTTTTCCGAAGTGGAAACACTACGGGTAACATTACGACCGAATGTCTAGCAAGGAAATATTGCCAACATCAGAAATATTTATTGCCGTATATGTTTACATTGCAACTTTTCTTGCGCATATATTGCTGGCCATATTCTTGCAAGTGTAAAGCCCAGCTTTTAGAACGGGGACCACGTTGGCGAGGTAGGTAACAAATAACGACAGCGGGGTGATGAATATTGCATAAGATAGTGGTGAAGCCGATTTACAAACGAGCTAAACTGTAACGAACGCTCTAGCAAAATGAAGAAGGAGCGTAACCTTGCAGTTACACTGCCAGCAGTGACCAACTGTACTCTTAGAGAACCACTGTCGCAGGACAACTGGAACGCGGTACAGGCGGAAGGTATTGCCGACTACCTTGAACTTGTCGTAGTGGCCGGTCTTGATGAAGCATGCTGAAGTCGAGGTAGCCGAGCGCGTTGAAGGCGCCTTCCACGGCAGGAACTCGAGCTCGATGCGCTCAAGGGTAGCGCGTGACGGCAGAGCGCCCGTGTGGCGTAGTCGAGCGGCCGGCGCGCGCCAGCGAGCGCGTCGTCCAGCAGCTGCGCGCGGTGATGACGCCCCCACGCGCTCGAAGCGCGCGCGGGGTTCCGCCAGCGCCGCCGCCAAGCAGCGCCCAGTTGCGCCGCGTTCGATAGTTCACGCGGTAGAAAACCTTGCGCCGCGCAACAACCAACATCGGCTTCAAGAAAAATAGAAGTTAAATTTAAGGATGGCGTATGAAAAACATAGAAATTTTCACATCGAAGTCACATTCCCTATCCCACGCCCAGGGCCGTACAACTCCAAATAATTAAACGAGTTTAAACTATTACAGTGCGCGCTCTGCTAGATCACCTTCTTTGCAGGAACGAAAAATACGAACTGGCTGCCAAACGCTACTTTAAAACCCGTGCGTGTACTGAGTGAGTTTCGCGAATTGCAAGCAGGCCTATAAATGTTACAAAAGATAGCGCCGATGTTCGAGCTTTCTTCAGGGGTTTGTTATAGTGCTGTATTATGAATAATCGAACACTTTAGAAGAACACCTTTTCTTATTTCTTGCAGAATTAGTTTAATTTTATGAGCCGGAAGTTGGCAAGCCTAACCTGCACGCATGTACCTGACGACACTAGAGCCTCTAGAGTAGGCATACCCCATGTTTTGACGGAGAATTTGAAGGGCACTTCCCACCTCCTTCTACTGAGGCTGAAGGTGGGCACCCGCTGAAAGGGGGCACCCCGCTGAAAGGGGGCACCCGCTGAAAAGGGGCACCCGCTGAAAGGGGGCACCCGCTGAAAGGGGCAACCCGCTGAAAGGGGCACCCGCTGAAAAGAGGGCACCCGCTTGAAAGGAGCACCGCCATAGCGGTGGAGGGTGCGCACCTGTCTCCTGGATGTTGAAGATGAGCCAGTGGTCGGCGGAAAGCGCTTGAGCGCCGGCAGCACCACGAGAGCGCTCGGCGACGCATCCCACAGCGCCGGCCACGTCGACTCGAAAGTCGGGCGCTGTCGGCCGAGTTTGTAGGTGAGCGGCACCCCACCAACACGGGGCCCTCGGCCGACGGCGCCAGACCCGTTCTCGGGGCTGCGCGAGCAGGAACCGCTCCTGCCACACCGCCACACGCCGGTCAGCACTGCACCTTCCCCTTCATCCACCTCGCCTCGAAACACTCGCGCTCAACTCACTCGCCTCACTCACGCACTCACGCACTCACGCACGCATTCACTCCACGCATTCACGCCCGCAACTCCACGCACGGAATTCACCCATGCACGCACTCACCCACCGCACGCACTCACCCACGCACGTCCACTCACCACGCACGACACTCACCCACGCGACCACTCACCCCACGCACGCACTCACCCCGCACGCACTCACCCACGCACGCACTCACCACACGCACGGCACTCACCCGCACGCACTCACCACGGCACGCACCTCACCCACGCACGCACTCACCCAGCGCAACACGCACTCACCCACGCAACCGCACTCACCCACGCCCACGCCACTCACCCACGCACGCACTCAAACCCAGCGCACGCACTCACCCACGCACGCACGGCACTTACCCGCCGCACGTCCCTACGCACGCACTGCACCCACCCGACGGCACGCGCGATTACCCACCCACGCACGCGCT